TAATTATGTCCCCACTGGATGCAACAAATGCCTCATTTGTAATGGGTTTTATTAGTTTTGTCTCATCGTGCCGGGAGACGGCATCACAGTATGGTGAGGGGCGTAACATTTCCGTCACACGCTTGAGGTATTCGGTCAATCACAACGCACTGGATAGCTGGCTAATCAGAGCACACCTCGCTTTTCAGACCGATTAGTTTTGTAAAAATCGACGCGTTTCAGAAAGGCGGGGCATAGAGGAGAAACAATAATGTACAGTATGTGGAAAATAATGTTTTTTTTTTTACTTTAAACCGCATAAACACATTTCATTACACCAAATACACAAAATAATGTTCTTTTTAGCAGCATCATATGACCCCTTTAACTTACAGTAACAGAGCGTGATGACACAAAAGCACAAGCACGTGTGACACTGACACTAACGCGCAGTTACAGTGAGCCTCCATTATCATCTGTACAGTGTACTGGACGCATCCCTCATACATTTAGCACATGAAAACGTTTAAGTCGGATGGTTCTCGGTGATTATGACTGATTCAGTCTGTGAGGCGGTACAGTTAGCTTGTTAGCTAATCATTTAAGCCTCTCATTTCACCAGTCGTTTAATAATCTTGCAGGCCAGGTTTGCGAGCTAAGTGGCTAGGTCGTGAACTCTACGATTTACACGACTGTAGTGTCTGGAGGGACTCTTTTCATAAGACATTTAAAGTATACATGGTAGGTCTGAACATGTCCGGTTTGAATAACACCGTAAACGAATCAAGGGAATATTAAAGTCCCAAGGCCTCGTCGGTTTTGCTATATAAATAAAACTGGTCACAGTATGTACGTTATATCAGTACAATGTGCCGCATTTTGACAGTTCATAAGGCTCGCTGTTCGTTTCAATAGCTACACAAAGGCAGAGGGAATTACGATATTAACCATTCAAATCGTATTACTAATCACATACTAATCTATCTCCTGTAATTAACAAATAATAGTATTACCTTTTCTGAATTCGTTCTTTAATGACCTAGATGTTTTCAGTAAAGGAGTCCGAGATCTGGTGAGCAAAATCGATGCCATTCTGTTCCCGTCTGTGTGGATGAAAAGGCGTCAAACGTTTATGTAAGATTTACAGTAACGCTGAGTGGACGTAAAGAGGTAATACACTGACGGGTTTATGAGCTATCCACAGAAGTCATAGTCCCGAGCTCTTGGCTCATGCCCTTGTACCCTCCTCGGTGATTCAAGCGATGAGTTTGCAAGCGTTCGGCATTTGCTTCCGTCTTCCTGTGGGTTGAGCTCAGCCGCCAGGGGGCGTGGTGCAGTTGCTGCCTATGAAGGTGTCAGGACTGACCGAGAAGAAACGATGAAGCGCAATCAAATGTCTGGACAAAGCAGACTCTTGAAACTCTAAATGAGTTGACAAACAGTGCATGATTAGCGTTCTGATATCCGAAAAAAGCTAGACATTGTGTAATCCTAAATTCTAAATGTTACTGGCAATGATGATGTTGCACACACCACACACAAGCAATTGACACTTGTTTTAAGTATGTAATAATACTAAAACAGATTTTTTTTTTTAACAAAAGCGTCTGCTAAATATTCTTCTAGAAACGGAAATGAAATGGGTATAAACTGCTTTTGAAACATTTTAATGGTTTGTGAACCCTGGCCAATAAGGCGCCACGGTTGCCAGATCTCCATATAAAAGCTAGCAAATTGGTATGATATAATATGCTCAAAAATACGTGACTTGTCTCACTAAAATGTCTAAATAAGCGAACTTAGTTTAATTTTTTCCCCAGGGGGCTAACTGCGTGATTCATTTGTCTATTTATTGTAGCATGATGTACATAAAACATGCCATTAGCTGCAATTTAATTGTGCTGTTTTAAAACAATGTAATGTTTCACATACAACTTACCATCTAAATCAATGAATACATCTTTGTTCATATACATGAATTGTACATTAATATTTTGGAAATAAGACCAAAAAAAAACGCAACCAATGTCTGTAAGCGCCTTAATAAATCAACAAACCAAAAGACGTTTGTACCAAGCGGACATGGCAACACAGTCTGGCGCGCTTATTTTCTGGTTGCCAGACACTCTTTGCTTGAGTGAAAATTGACTACACGCTAAAAGCATATTAACTGGAAAAATTAAAAATATATATTTAAAAAGAAAATTACACATTTCAGTATTGGTTTATGTTTAAACAAAAATGGCAACAAATGAATTCCAAAATGTTGTCGTTATTTTTATACAATGACGTAAAACTCAGCATTCGCCACATTTTCTGTGTGTAACTGGCAACAAGATAACGAATTCCCTCCCGCAAGAGGTCTGACGTCACATGGTGAGAATTGCCCTCTTCTGCTCGAGCAGTGATCTGTGTCGCTTTGCCATTTTTCGAAATAAAAACAAAAACAGATGATCTCAGAATCTCATGGCTTCATCTTAAACAACGAACTTGCGATGAAGTTTGGAGTGCGCCACGGATAAGTGAAGATGTTCGACGGAGAGTCAGCCGCGAAGAGAGTGATATTTGAAAAGGCCGGTTGAATTGTGCCGTCGCGTGTCAGCCAATCGGATGTGAGTATTTTTGGCGCTGATTGGGATGAGAGAGTTTCCCGCAAGCTTCTCAATACACGTCGGGAGTAATGGAGATGCTGTAAACAGGTTTATTTTCCCACAGGAATAAATCGTGGCACGTCATAATTACGGGGATTGCTGTCTATTACACGCTGGGGTGGGATGTTAGAGGTTTTCTTTCACGGATAAACGAGTCGTTTTGTAGTATGTCACTGGCTGAGGCAGCTGCAGCTGTACCTCACTTGCTAGCTGGCTAAGCTGTAGTTCGCGAGGTTTGTCAGCTTCAGTTTGAAGAATAAATAATTCCTGAGTTAATAAAATGTACCATATGGTTATAGTATGTATTACAGCCCCAGACACATCCTCAGAGATTACATATTTAATAGCGTAGAAATGTTTGGACCTGCACAAGTGTTTTATGTGTTTTGGCGATGCATTTCTTTGCTACCATCATATTAGCTCTACACTGTTACTTTCACGGACCTATGGCTTGATATCTTTTACTCCACTTTGTATACATTTCCTTACATCCGTCTGGTCTTTGAAGTGTTGCAGCATTTTAAACCGAGAGCACAATTCCCACTGAATGTGTTTTAGTTTCATTTTGGTGTAAAAGTTTGTATTAACGAGAGTTATTTTCTTTCAGTTTGCTGTGGGCTATTAGGGCGGTTAGGAGAGTCCATCACTGACTCATCCATAATCTTCCTTCATTGATGTTAACGAGGCATCCTGACCGCTCATCCTGAATAACAATAGCTCGATAACTGCCTCTTGTTTAGGACCGAACGGACATTTACATTTGAGCAGTCACTGTTTTACATAAAGCTTTGCTTGGGTTATGTTTTTATTCACTTTTTAGATATGATTCATTTATTGCCCTTGTGCATGTTACAAATCAAAAGCGGTACGTTTTTTTTCTTTATTTCGTTGATATAAAGCTCGCAGTGCTTATTTTGTATCGTTTGGTTTGTATCAGTGGGTTTCCTTTCAGGATTCATTTGAGGAGGTTTGTGCATTGAACTGAATCAAAGCGGCTGGCCACCCACTCGCGCACTGCGAATCCTCCACGGAAGCCATTTTAATGTGGGACCAAACCATTCCAGTTCTCAAACTCCATCCTATATATATATATATATATACACACACACACACACACACACACACACCGTAGTCATCATTTGAAGTGGATCAAAAAAAAGTTTGTTTTAGGACAACTTTGAGGTTTTGATCCACTTCAAATGTTGACTATAAATATGATTTATTTTAGTTTACGTGTGCATACTTTTTAAATTAATTTGTCCTTTTTTTATGTAGTTGAGGACTGATTGTAAATGTTTCATTTTGTAAACCTCTATTGTTTTTGTCTTTTTCAGGCCCCTGGTTAGTTATGACAGATAGTAAGGGGACATCACTGCCTGCAATGCCAGAGCCCAGGAGTCCTACCACCATGAAACAGCCCTCTGATTCACCTGGTGGACGTAAGGGTCGGGGTGATGGGAGCACTGACCCTACTATGCTCATGGGGACCAAACCATTCCAGTTCTCAAACTCCATCCTCGCCATAATCCACTCAGTTCTTTCACCTAACCACAGTGTCCCACACGAACTGTAACTACTGGTTATTTGTGGCTATTTAGGACCTGCAGCTTGCAGTAGTCGCCACAGGTGCAGTGGTTAGAACAATTAATTCGTATTTTCGATAAACGTCGGCTATGTTTGTTCTCGTAATCTTTTTACGTTTTGTATTTTTAAAATGTACCTGTTGAGGACTGATTGTAAATGTTTCATTTTGTAAACCTCTATTGTTTTTGTCTTTTTCAGGCCCCTGGTTAGTTATGACAGATAGTAAGGGGACATCACTGCCTGCAATGCCAGAGCCCAGGAGTCCTACCACCATGAAACAGCCCTCTGATTCACCTGGTGGACGTAAGGGTCGGGGTGATGGGAGCACTGACCCTACTATGCTCATGGATAAAGCCGCTACCCAGATGGCAGCTACACCTCAAGAAAGTGTTTTGCAGATGATTGGCAGTCATGGTCATAACCACACCCATGAGCGGCTAAAGGACCTGACTTCCCGTTTGTTAAATGGCGATCAAGACAAAATTCCAAAGCTCTGTGCTGCCACAGCTGCACAGCCTCTTCTCAAAGGGGTGGAGCCTGTTCCTCAGCATGCCAGCCCTCCGAGGAAGTCCAGTGTTTCTCCTGAACTCACTTTTAAAATAACCAAATGTGTGGTAAATCTAGGTGGGAAGACAAACCGATTCGGGGCAGATTATGCAGAGGAGGGAACAGAGGAGACAAATGCACCTTTGAGACTTTCAGAAGGTTTTCTTGCCTCTCCAACTGCCATGAGAGAAATACGAAAGAAGAAAGGGGGGCTTGTAAGGAAGAGAACTCCACCAAATCACAGAGAGTCAATTTTAACCCCTACTGAGAGTTCTGATCAATCCCTTCTACTGCAACCCACCATAAATTCTAATGACCACACCACTGAACCATGTGTTCTCCCCACTGAGTCTGATGAGCAGACTGATGGCGAGATACCTGCTAGTGTAACTGCCATCCCAACCCAGGTATGGCTTATTGGCTCTTAATGGCTCTTCGACTGTCTTTAATGCAAAATAAGTTGTTTGTCATAAGGAAAATATGTTTACCACTTGTGGAGGGGATTCTCTTTTTTTTTTTATGGGTCTTACAGTTCTTCATTTCTGTCTTGTAGGGGCCTATGTCTGACTGCGAAGTGAATGATGTTGCACAGGGTGTGGATGATGTGGAATTGAGTGGTACAGAGACACAACCCCGTGTGCAGTTCTCAGTGGGGGATGTTATCTGGGCCAAAGTGTCTGGATACCCTTGGTGGCCATGCATGATCACTACAGACCCGGAGATTAACATGCACTTTAAGTCAAAAGGTAAGGTGTGCTAGATCAGTTGACGTATTGTTCTTACCATTACCATATTGTCAACCAACAGATTTTCATCATTACTGTCTTACTCAATTTCTAACAGTTTGTGGCAGTGCATGCTAGTATGAAGTAATTTTAAGCTGCACTTTTTTATAATGATCCATATTTATAGACATGGAAAAGCAAAGAATATTAGATAACTCGATCAGTAACATTAGGAAAATTCTAACTGCAAACTGATAGATATAGATATAAAAAAAACAATGAGTCTGATGTGGAAAGTAATAGTGCGAGAAAGTAGTGTTAAAAAAAGCTTTTAATTGAGTTTTAAAAGTTGCAAAGGCTACTTAAGAGTGAGATCAGGAGTTTAGATGCCATGGCACTGCATGTTTTGCCACCCATGGAGGAAAGTCAGAATCTAGGGGATATCAAGGAAACGGGCCAGTTGCATAAACATAGACACTATGTTAAGACTGTGTCTTAAGAACTAGTTTGACCAACTAGCAGTTAGCAAAGAGATAATCAGTCTCACTTTTCTGATTAAAATTGGGCCAATCTACATTTTTGTTATTGACTTTAAACAGTTATGACCAATCTAGAAGAAAACAAATTAGATGGCTAACTTTTTAAGACTAGTCCAAGCAGTTTATGCAACCGGCCCCAGCTGAAGTAGCTCAGAGACTCAAGGAGCAAGGTCATTAAGGGATTTAATAATTACAAGAAGTGCTTTGTAGTAAATAAGAGATGAAACGGGTGGCCAGTGCAATTTAAACAGGATTGGGGGGGT